AGGGGACTAGTTAAACTAACCCTCTATGCCAAATTCATCACTTTGAGCAGCCGAAAGGAAAGGATGCGAGAAGAGGCTTATGGATGGAGGACTTCAAAGTGCTGGTGTGGAAAGCACCACCTGTGAGACAGAAGATGGCGTTATGAGGAGAGCTGTCTTCAATACTTGCACAATGCACATTATAAATGTATATGATGGCCCTTGGTCGTATATGATGGCCCTTGGTGATTTCTTGTACTTACTTATTCTTTTCTTGCGTAGTTCACGAGCAAATTCTACGATAAACACTTGACGGATTGCGTTATGGCCATGGGTCACTGCAGGATTCGCGTTACAAATATCAAGATCCGGTGAGCACGGCTTAGGGGGTTCCAAGTGGAGGTCCTCACTAGCTTCCTCCAAAGAGACTTGGTCAAGGCAAGACCATACGGGTATCTTGTATGTGAGTCCAAAAATACGTTATGGCCCTGCAAAAGAATCCATATCACAGGAGTGAGACAGTGCTGGAGCAAGGCGTATGCTTTCAGATTCAAAAATGTGGTGAGTGCCTGTACGCACGGTATTCGCACGAGACTGACTCAGCCTTCCAGTAGACGAAAGACTCAAAATACCGTGCCTATTCCATGCAAGACGGTTTCGATAGCATTGGTTACCTCAACCTGAATAGCCAGGTCGGTCTGCTGAGCCAAACATTATGAACCACTATGGGAGGAGCTTCAAAGAAGTTGAAAAAAAAGCTGAATATGACCTGGTCCTATAAAGGGAAATGGAAGAAGGTTGAGTGGTTCAATGATTGATCACATATTCAGACCTAGTTGATGTAACGATGTCTCTGGAGGGCTTTCGACAATGTGCTAGACCTGCTTAATATAAGTGGTAGTGTAGTTAAAAGTTTTTGTTATATATAGATGTGTTCAATCTGAATAATCTAACTGCGTTCTTTTTCGTCTGCTTTCAGTGAATCAAATAATCTATAAATTTTCAAGCTTCGGTTTTAAGCTGAAGGTTGGTACATTTTCTGATATTAAACACTGAATAAATATTCGTTGCAAATTTGGAGAAGATGAGTTGCAGAAGCGAGACCCAAAATACTGCTTGTCAATTGATTTTTTGTCGCTACTGTGTATGTAGTGCCGTTCACACAACTTGAAGCACTTAGTGAAAAAGGAAGAGTGAAAAGAGAAATGAAAAAGAACAGGAAACAAGTTGCAATTCAAACAAACGGAGAGGAAAGAATTGTAGATGAAATGCGTAAACTTACAAGACTATAGCGACTTGAACCAGCTAACCTCTTCAATTGAAGCCTGACGACTTCAAATTTCTACTACAAGTAAGTACTTATATTGCAGCTGGGAACGGCTAATCAGCCCTTCAGCAGAAAGTTATCAATTTTATGGATGAATTCACTAATACTCTCACCATCTACTATACACTGGTCTACGTTCCATTTCCTCATCACATTTGTCACGTCCTCCTTCTGACGCTGTTTCCCTATCTATCACAACTCCTAACTTAGGCAGTGATGCCCGCTACGCACTGCAAAACGTCTGCCGGACAGAGTCAGCCCTATGCTAGGACAAATACCAACGAGGGGGTCGTACTTGGTTTAGGTTTTAGGGGGGATCGTACTCTCTCGGTGGCCGGCAGTGGGTTCAATGTGTCTTATGCAATTATGCAAAGCCCTCTCCCGCATAGACGCAGTCATGAAGAGGAAGACTTGCAGAAACAGCAGCACTATACTATAGCATCTATAAACCCACGCTTCCTTCTAAATGAGCTTTCAAATGAATCAGCGAATCAGAAGCGCGGCCGAGGCGTGGCGCACACCAAGGCAGGGGATGTAGTGCAAGCGCATGCTCGAAGCTTTCTAGCACATCCTATGTTCAACATGAAATTGGTTTTCCAAGAAGTTACGGGCAGTGAAACCTAAGAAAACCCGCGTTTTCAAGAAAATGGCTTGAAGAATACCCCTCAAAAAAGTAACAACGGACTAATTTTTGAACTGCTGACTTTTCAGGAACGTTTGGGTACTTTTTAGAAAGCTTGAATCCTGTAGTTTGTCATACCGTGTTCAGCTTCCCAAATGAATGACTTTGAAGGAAGTTATGATCGTTTGAAGGTTGAAAAAGTCGCATTTGCACAGAAAAAAGTAACAACGTACTAAATTTTTATAAATTAACTTTCGAAGAATTTTACCCATGGTTGGAGAGAGAATAATTTGAATTTTCCAAATCAAATCACTTCGGCGCAAAAGCTCGAATATGAAGGAAGTTATAGCCCTAGAAAGAGGAAGTAAAAATTGTAGTGCAATTTTATTTTTTGCTCAATAACTTATTCATTTCAAATTTTTGAGAACAAATGAGCTTTCGTTAGAAAGGCTGAGCCTCGCTGATCCAAAATCCACCTCTTCTTCCGAACTACCTGAAATTTAACAAAGAAAAACTCGTCAGATTTCAGAACCCCCGTTCGTCGCCTATTCACGGTCAGCAAACGCGCTCCATCGTCAGGACGCCAATGGGCGCCATTCAGCACATTCAAAACGCGATCGATGCGCATTTCCATTCCTTTGCTATTCGGCAAGAACTGCAGCACCACATGCCCTCCCTCAGTGGATAAGACCAGTTTTTTTTCTAGACAGATTCTTTCCGCTAAAATAACTTCCATATATTGTCCGTATATGTTTCACGTGGCCCATAGTGTGCATATCATCCAAAAAAATTTTAGTACCAGACCGCCCATGAAGGTGGGGGGTCGTGCAAAAATTCCAAAAAGTACCAACGATAGGGTTGACCCTGCTGCTGACATTTTGCACGTAACGCGCACTGTCACTTCATACCGCTTTTATTTCGCCTTCCGCTCCGTTCTCTGCCATCAAGCCCTTGTTCCACGTTTGACGCGATGAAAGGGAACCTACCCGAGGGAGAGGAGCCCTTCAACAGCCAGTTTTGCTTACTACAGGCAGATCGATTAGGCGGTTCCCGTCAAGCAGCGCTACTGTAGCAAAAGACGCTACTCCTGTATATATGGTTAGAAAGATTTATTCATTTATTGATTTTTTGACTTTTCTTATCAGTAGGCTGATCAGATTAGACATTTTTTCAGATGTTTCTTCATTCCATCGCCGCCGACGGGACGATGCCGCATAGAAGGGCGAGGTTGGCTTCTGGCTGAAGGTCTGCGGCCCCACAAGCCTTTCTAGCCTCTGCTTTGGATTCTGCTTATTGCTTCTGATTCTGCCTTCAACATCCAGCCGTGCTATTCACCAATATCAATAACTGCGGTCGTTCCGCCCTCAGCGATTCTCTTAGTATCGTCACTACTAATATTCTTAAGATCTACTTTACAATAAAGAATATAATTTTTCCTGTTTCTAGGTAAAGAAGCAATATTATCAATACGATTAATACGGCCTATCAATATCTCTGAAGGAGCTCCGTATCCGATAAAATATCATCAATATTATCGAGATAATCAATAACCCGTCCCACCAATACCAAGAAACCCCAGGCCAGTGGACCTATTTACTGAAAGGCTAGCCGTTCATTCTCGACAGCCGCTGCTTTATCTCCAACAGGCCCAACCATTAAGAGGCCGTCCTTGTGTTTGAAGCTTTTCTGTAAATCCATTCACCTTTTTCTGACCAAGAATTGATTGATGTCTTCCAAAATTTTGTCATATTATTTATTAGCCTTATCTAACGAAAACTACAAATGAACGATTGCACACACTATAACTTATGAAACTTATAATTTTATATAGCAGCAAACCCGTCTGTGATGAGACGTTTCGTTAAGATTCCCAAGAGAATCGATAAAATACTATCAAGTTATCACAATCACGAGTAAGCTGAATGGCGGCGAGTGAACTTTTGGCATGGCAGTGTGAAAATGATGGAAAGTCAGGCGACTGAATCTGGTCCTGTTTGTGGTGGTTCGGACTTCTGAGAGACGGTTGATATCTTTTGGTTCTTTGCCCACCATTGCACCTCAGCCGAACCCCACATATTGAAGACGATCAGTGGCAGTAGAGCGATAACTGTGGAGATGTAGAATACCATATTCCATTCAAGAACAGTGCCATTCTGAAAAACGTGATTAAAATGTAACTGGAGAAGAACAAGTATTACACACTTGAGCATGTTTGAACTAGGCGGATAGAGGCATTCTATTTCAATGAGAGGATAGTGTAGGAGGTTCTCACTGACCCTAGCAATCCATTTGGTGAGTATAGGGTTCACAATCCCAGAGCAGGCAACAAAGAAGAACGCGAATCCGGTAATAACTCCAGAATAGGCCGGGGCCAAAGAAACAAGTGCTGTCTGACATCCAGGCGTATGCAAACCTGCAATTAAGACTATAGCAACCTAGCAGCAGTGAACTTATCAAAAATACTGGTTTATTACACTGAATATGATAGTGTTTCAGGATAGGTCGATGAAAATTATTAAAAATTCATAAGAAACGAGCTGTGGATATTGATTAGTCGCAATTAATCGAGAGCTGCGAGAAACCTTATGCCCAAGCTTTGAGTACGGCGAAGAGCAAATAGGCAACATGCAAAATAATTAATTCACCTGCTGAGGCCATGCTCAGGCAAAGAAATAGAACCGCTAGAGGTGCACGGGATGAATCAAGAAGTGTGGCCGCGAAGAGAAATGCGCCAAGTCCTAGCGATGCCAAAGAGTTCAACACCTGAATGATTAGAGATGGAGATTTGATATCCTATAAATAGAACAAAAAATGGATATCTAAAGATAAAATTTCTAGATAAGAGATGAGAAGGTTGGTTTTAATCAGGAAATTAAAGGAAAACGAATCTGTACTGTACCGAACAAAGGAAAGTGAGAACCTTTCCGAAATAGTATATTCTTCCGAGTTTTCGGAAATCCATGATGCATCATTTGAACTCAAACCAGCGACATCAGCAATTTCACACTCGGCCCTATTCAAGTTCCGACACCCCCTTATTGCCATGGCTGTGGATACCATGGGCTGACCACGTCTACACATGAATTGTAGGCATAATTTATGCGCTAATGATATCAATACGCCCTTACTTGTGCGTGCGGCAGTGTAGATACTGTAAGTGTGAGGTGGTTTGTATGAGCATGACAGAATTGCCAACACCGTCGAAGAAGTACCGTCTTCGTGTCTCGAAAATGCACTAGAAGGGCACTAGAGCCTTGTCCCACCAATGACAGGCAAAGTTTCGTCGCGGTACAACCATCTGCTCTCGGTAGTGTCTGGCTTGTCTTGCTCGTCTTCTATACATATTTTCTCTCTCCTGATGTCTAATCCTTGCGCAAATTTTCTCTTGCTGTCCATCTCTGCCTCTCTCGTAAGCACTTCTTAGCACCCATGTAAAAGAGGTCTTCCAGTGTTCTCGCCAATTTGGATTTATTTTTCTCTTCGGCTGTTAGCCTCAATTTCAAGGATAACCACATTTAGTGGTATCTTCAAAACACCTAAAAAGCAGAAATTTAGCTCTTGCAAAAGCGAACCTTGCAAATTGTGCTTCTCTTCCACTGCGTGTGCCCCTGCAACCACGTGTTGGCATAGCTGCTTGCCAATTTTGACAGCCACAAGGAAGCCGTCGGAAGTGCCGAGAGAATGCCGTTTTTCGTCGAAGTATAGTGGTGGACGTCGTGCAGGTAGCTTGAAAATATTATTATATTTATCGGATCCCTATGACTAATTGCTAGACCGGCGGAAAACGTGGGGGGGGAAGGTGATGTGAGATTTCGTCGTTCAGAAAGTTTTTGCGATTTTACCATGGACACCGAATGCATAAATATCGACTCAAACGAATCTTCAAATGTGATATAACCCCTCACAAACATTATATTTGGCGACATTCGGAAGTATTATAATTAATTCGTCAATTCGATTGTTTAGAATACTGCACCTCTGGAAGCGATGAACTCGGAGAAGGTTGATAAAGCTTATGTTACCATAGCATATGTTGAGCTTTGAAGCATTTCTCTCAAGGAAGCTACGTAGCTACGTAGGGGAACATAAGAGGTAAGTATAATGCAGTGCGCTTCATGATTATAAGCTCGCTTTCAAATTTTGGATTCCCAGAATAACCAGCCATTTAGGAATTTTCTAGCATTCAGCGTCAACCCGGACAAGTACCAACGGGTGGGGAGGGGGTCGCAGTTTGTTCAGTTTGTGGGGTGAGGGGTCGCAGTTGTTCGGGGAGCGTGCAACAGAATCGTCCGGGAGTGGCGCCGTCGCGCGCGGTTACTTGCGCGGCGCCGTAATGCGGCACTTTTTCGATGGGCGCGGCAACAATGACTTTGTCGATTGGAGCGACAGATTTGCTGCGGTCCACATTAACCCTTTTGGCCCTGGCCCATCAACTTCAACTTCTTATTTTTAGGTCCTCCTCATTGCTTACGACTCGTGCGATCTCAAGGGATCGTCGGACCATTCTTATTTGCTGGTTTTGCTTTTGTTCAGGTTATGTACTTCAGGTTAATTTTTCTACACAAAAGTCAGAAAGGATAAAGTTATGGCGAAAAAAAAACGAAAAAGCGCAAGTCCACGTTTTTATCGTGTTTTTGAACAATTAGGGTGGGTATTGTATAACACCTTGATGATGTGTTTCCGAATAGTCGTTATATACTTATTTCTGACCCTGGCTATTACATAAAGGGAGAATTCGGGTTAGCGTTCCTTTGGAAATTCAAATCGAATGGCGCTCAACTCGTCCGCTGCAGTCGTGACGTCGCGGCCGCGACTACAAGCGCGGGTCTCCGGACGATTCTGTTGCCACACACCCCAGTTGTTCCGGTATTGATGAGAGGAGAGCGCGCGGGAGAAAATTTGCCCTTCCACGCAAACTATGAACATTTCCTAAAAATCGTGGATATATCCTTCTATTATATAAAGCGCTAACTTTGTGTGTCGGTTTGTGTATCTGTATGTGTGTGTGTGTGTGTGTGTGCGTGTGTATGTATGTATGTGTGTCCGTCCGCAAAATGAAGTGAGTGAGAAGGAAGCTCATGGGATAAACAAACCGCTAACAAATCGGGTAGCTTACAGGATTTGAGATATCAATGTTTTGTAGCAGGATAGTTGTGATAACACTCTTAGGGCTATATAAACACCTGCTTAGCACACTTCCGTTCATTCCACATGGTGCTGCAGTGGCAGCTGGAGGGCAGTGGAGAGAGGAAGGGAGGATGAGGAAGGGAAGCGAAAAATCTACCGTCATATCATGATTGTGTCCCTTCTACTGTATGAAACACCATTGTGTTGCATACGCGTCACTTCCAGGAGGTGTTGGTGTCACAGGAGGAAGGGACCATAGCGGAGGATAGAAAGCTTGCGCAGGAAAGGAAGGTCCCGGCGGTTGACGGGGGACTAATCTGGTAGAAATAAAGAGAAAATGGAAAAGTAAATGAAATGTAGGGAATTAAATTATGGGATTATTGCGTACATGGCAGGTATATAGTAGGTATATAGAAAAAAAGTTGAGAAGGAGGGGTCGTGTGAAATCTCTAGTGAAGGAGGAGGATCGTAAAGATTTTTCAAGAAGTCCCGACGATAGGACTGACCGCTAGTATCCTCAGCTGATTTCTCAGTACGAACAACCCCGGCCCCGATTTTGGTAGCAGCATCATTTTTCTAGACTTCTTTATAATAGTTTTCTTGTTTGCACCGATTCATATTTTTAAGCTTACATATTTATAGGCTCACCATGAGAAAATGAATAGTTTCTCGTGAGGATCAACAGAAGTTGTCTAAATAAGTGAATATCTGCCACTATCAATTTTTTTTTGACTTCATTTGAATGTTTCGAGGTGGTCTTTTGACAAAGGGAAAGATTTATGTATGATATTCTGGTACAAGAGTGGTCGCGAAACATATCGGAATGCTCTCGCTCATTCCAAAGATGTTTGAAGTGATACCATGTATCCAGGTGTCCACTCAACTGATAACCAGTTAGTCTGAAAGCAACATCTAGTGCCTTTTCCATGTCTGCGTCGTCCAAACTAGGACTTTTAACAGAAAATCTGCCGTCCACCCGAGTCCCTCATCGAAAGATTGGCTGCACTCCCAAAACATTAGCGTCCAGCTGTGGTTAGTTTGCAGTTCGGGTGTCCATCCGATGGAGAACGAGTAGGGCATTATCACCAAAAAGGCTTTATGCGAATAACCGTTGAATAGAAAGTACAGAAATTCTGAAACAGCCGGTCATTGACGCTTGGAACGGAACCGACAAAGAAGAGCTTCTGAACCTAGTTCCAATTAGGCCACGGAGGTCTCTCGATGTCGCACTTTAGAGAGCCATAGATAATCCTGTCTCACGTGTCGTAAATACTTAAAGGCATGCCCCAGGATCACATTGGTGTGGCTCTTGCACACGAATGCGAATGTTGGTGCGAAATGGGCCGGCAGTGAAGAAAAAAAGGAAAGAGAATCCGTCGAAAACGCTCAGGTTGAGGGCTCACTCACCTTCCTAATCGGCTGTGCTAAGGGAATGAGTGACTGAGGATAACATGGGGCGAGAGAGCGCTAGAGATGAGAGGCCAGACAACAGCCTAAGAACACTCTGCAAGGCCCAAGCGCCCTTATCGGTCGGTTTCCGTGCACGAGAACGCCACATTTGTGATTGTCCTCTAGGGGTCTATACTACAAACCGAAGAGAAGCGTTCACACGACCTCTGCCTGGGTTGTGCCTGTAATAAATTGATCATTTGTCTCAGAGTGAATTTATAGTTGCAGAACGGTGCAAAAACGAAAAAAAAACTCAGAAACGAAAAAAAAACTAATACAAAAAGTTCAGGAATTGATGCTGCTGCCAAGATTCGGATACGGAGGTTATGGGAAATCTGTTGGTAATGCTAGAGAAATCCGAGCGCCTGCTTATTTTGGGAATTCAAAACCTAAGGTTGAATAAATAAATGTCAAACGCACTGTAGTTAACAGAAATATTCCTCGCTCAGCTGGACTAACATTTGCAGGGTTGAAACGGAGTGCGCTAGTGTAGGGGAAAAGTACTCACTTGTCATACTTGGACGTTTCGCACTCACCTCTATAGAAGCCCCTACGGTGACACCTGATTCAAATAGAACCCTTTGAGCAGGACCATGCAGACTTGGTTTTGATGAAACCACGAGTTAATCTTTGCCAATCACATGGTGTGATTACCATCCTCATACTATTCTATAATATGTATATTCTCCCTATTAGCTACAAGACCACTTTACATCATGACTGCACAACGCATTCAATGTGGATTGGGAACCAAAAGTACAGTTGACACTGCTAATCGCTTCCGCATCTTTTCCAGACGGAATCGAGTGGGAACAAGGAGATCGCGCGGATTCGCTTCTTGAGGGTATTGTACTTGAAGCTACGGAAAATTTCAGCAGTTGCTATCGAGTAAAACCGATGGCAGTGCTATAGGCAGGAATCACGATTATACCAATAAAAAACCTTTCTTCTTGAGCAAACTAACAGGACTCCTGATCAGAGCGATTGTGATACTGTTGCAACTCGGAAGTGATCGACAAGGGAGCTAATGCCTTGGCCAGATCGCTGCTACAGCTGCCATTCCTTATCTATGCCCAATGCTTATCTAAACACCGCGTTTGTGCCCTCTCATGTATGTCAAGCTTTGCTAGGCTTTATTTTCTTGCAGCAATGCGTCCTGTCGTCATACACTCATACTACCGTCATTTTCTATGGTGCTTCTTGCATTTCTCCTCACTAACGTTCTCATCGCACTGAGTTGGTCTAATTATCAGAGCAAAATCGTCAGGGACGGTAGTAAAGTGCCATAGACTGGGAGTCAAGGGTGGTGAACTACGGCCTTTAACGGCGAATAATGAAAGGCAAGATAGTGAGATGACCCTGGTGTGAACGGCGAACTTCAGTATGTTGCTAGCAAAACTCACATCGCCCATGGACTTGAACCGTGTAACGCAGCGTCCATGAGCGCGACGCTTGACACTGCACCACAAAGCACTGCTGGTTCACTTTGAAAGAATTGTAGAATGCAAGGTAGTAACCTGAGAGGGTTGCAAAACCTTTGGGTTTCGAATGGAACTGATCCCGCGACCGATCCTATGTCCACAAGGAACGAACCCGCTGCGCCAATCGACGTGTTAGGGTGGAGACCATTCCCATTTAATTGTTTAGAGGTGAAATTCTCCCATGACCAAAGAAGGGGCTGTAACACAATCAATAAGTGGAACAATAATGGGGACAGCTGGGGACACCTTATTGGCAGAAAGTTATCAATATTATCGATAGCTCCGGTGGCTTCCTCAACACCTATCACCAATCACCCTTCTTCTCTTCGCTCTGCGACATGGCAGGGATGCAAACACGCTCTACATGACGTGCAGAGAAAGGAGAAAGTGCATGGTGATTGCAGAGATCACTAAATGTACTCAGGGGTACATATTGGTCGCCCTCTACATGACCCTCTGCGATCTCTGCGTTCTCCACGCTCTTTACCTTTTCTCTGCCCAGGTTCGCCGACTAGCCTTAGGTGCCACCTAGGACATTGGCCACTTGGGATGCGGCCCAGACCTCGCCCACTGCGGCACGTCAGCGCGAGTTTCGCGCCTTTCCCCATGCTTTGCGGGTGGGGACGAAGGCGAGCACTGCGTGACCTATTGGCCAACTATAGACTGGCCATTTAGGACACTTTACTACCGTCCCAGGGCAATTTAGTCCAGACAGTGTTTTGAGTAGAGCGAGGGACTCGCTTTTTAGATATGTGTAGTTGCGTCAATGCTTGAAACAGATTAAAATAAGGCATGCAAAATACAGACAGCAAGAATCTCCAAGAAGTTCTACGCGACCTAATAGATAGTGCAGTATATCGCAACTGTTAGACGGTATTCCTTCGTTTTGAATAAGAAGGGTAAAAATGTCAAAGGTAGGAGGTCGAAAAGGAATGACAAAGTACAGAAACTAGCGCATTTTCATGCAGCATTCAAAATGTTATTACGTGAGTTCTACTGGAGACATTGCGTTCAATTAGAAACTTTGTGCGCACTATGCCGTTTGAAAAAATATAAA